GTGGCCGACGCATAAGCCTGACAATCTTACCGCCATCTGTGAGCCGATTGTCTAGAGAAGATGTGAGGGCCTCGACGTCTCACAGCCTTATGGGGCTTCATGGCCAGTTACAGGGATAACTTTTTGCCTTTATTTTGTGCATGTGACGACTTGTAGAGCTGTAAACAGTTACCAAAGTGTCAGAGGAACCTGCTGTCTCAGTATACCCTGAAGATGTAGGCAGCAGGATTCTCAGAAACCTTTGTTGCTTTTTACCAGACTACGCGGCGTCACATTATAGAAGACTGCGTCTTAATGTTCACTGCTGTGAGAACTTCCAATCGAATTTAGGATAGTCGTTCTCCGATCTAAGATTCGAACACGGAACCTTTAGAATATTGACCAGTAAACTGCTCCATGAAGTGCGGACTCAGTGAAGAAAGAATCATGTAACAGTGAACGTATGTTTGTAAAGATGTGATTATGCAACATTCCTTTGCTATGGAACAATGATTTTCTTGAGTAATCTTCGTACATGAAAATTGCAATATGCACATGACGTTAACCAACCGCAGTGTAGGTACCTTGTAGTAAGCAGACAGGAATTATTTATCCGGGTCAGTGTTTATATAAATTCCCCAGGTTCTTTGTACCCGCACGTAGAAACAGACGATCTGAACTACCGGGGGGCATTGTTCCCAGATGCACAAATTGTTTGGAGGGGAGAGGGGCAGTTCGTGATGTCTACGCATACCTTCCGTTCAAACGCCGAGCCGTGCCTTGCTCTGTTTTTTTTTTGTTGATGATAACGGAAATGAGATTGTACTTTTTTTCGAGTTGCATTATTGTGTGGTAGGCGATTTTCGATTGTATGGCACGACACGCGAGGAAACTTGTGGTCTGTAGTCTTTGGAGTAAGTGCAAAACCGGGGGTTCGTGACTGTCAAGTAGTGGGCCTAGCAGACAAATGTGAAGTCATCAACTTCTTTTGTGCTTGAATGTAGATTCAATGGGTGGAGTAAAAATTATCAGCATTCTGCTATTCGTGGCGGATAATATGATATAGCATAAGTGTCGTTACATGTTAATGGGTATTAATGACATCCGAATGATTTTAATTTACTGCAAATACTGTATAATTACGTTTTTGCAAAGCTGATCATACTGCGCAGGGTCAGAACTTAGATTAATTGTACTTGTAGTTCGTTAAATGCCGATCACAGTGGCTGCCCGGTCTAAGGCATGAAACGTCTTCGCCCGCACGAACATTGGAATCGTGGGTTCGAATCCCATTCGAGGCATGGATGTCTGTGTGCGTTTTTTCTGTTTGCGTTGTTCTGTGTGCAGGTAGCAGCCTTGCGACTGGCTGATCCCCCGTCCAAGGAGTTCTACCGACAGTGTATAAGATTAAGGAACTGAAAGGCGGCCAAGGCCTAACAAAGGGCTGTAGAGCCATAGATAGGTAGGTAGGTAGGTGGGTAGTTGGTTCGTTCGTTAAATACGGAGCTGTCTTAACGTAACGGAACACCCAGCTGCTGTCAGTGTCAGGTTCTCACAACGGTGGTTATATCTTCTGGGATATAACGCCTTGTAGTCCGTTGGAAGTCAACCGACGTTTCGGAGGAACATATCGCCTTTAAACTTAACTACACTGCGTTATATCCCAGAAGATAGTACTCAGTTTTGTATCGTTCTCTTCTCCTACGTTGATGGAGTAGGCCCTCTGCTCTGTTCCTATTCAGAATTAATTATGAAACTATGAAT